CCTAGCAGTTTGAAAACACGTAAAAATGCAAGTAGAAAAATAGGGACCACTTTGGTGGGAAGGTAACGTGTGCCTTCAGTGTTTAGTCATGCTGGCCACATGACCACGGAGACGTCTTCGGACAGTGCTGGCTCTTCAGCTTTGAAATGGAGATGAGCACTGCCCCCTAAAGTTGGGAATGACTAGCACATATGTGCGAGGGGAACCTTTACCTTATTCCATAAACTAGATGTCAGTCTTTAGACAATGAGCTGTACCAGTAGAGATTGTGCCCTCCCTTGTCCCAACCACAAATGAGAATGACAACAATGAAACCCTCTTCTCCCAAACTTGGAAAGAGAAAGAAAGATAATTAAAAGAAATTTTATTAGGGCAATTTAACTTTATTTTTTTTTCATACAGCTATAGCAGTAATAATAAAATAAGCATAAAAACAAATTGCAGCCCAGGACAGAGTACATAAGTTGGAGCAACTACCAAGCAAATTTAAGTCTGTGATTACATAATAGTAAAAACCAAGCACACCTGTCCTTTCAGCAGATGAAAGTTATAGGGTTGCAAGGAAGTGCAACATGTACTAATTCATCAATATGAATTATGAGACAGAATAGATCCAATCATTGGTTCCCTCCCCCCTCACTTTGGCTTCATGTAGTACATGGTTTGTCAAGTGCTTTAGGTTAAAAATGGTAAATTTGAAAGGGTGGTTTTTTTTTCACCTGCTAAAAGAACCGGATCACTACAGCAATAAAAATAATTACGTAACAACTACAGCTATGATGGTTTTGTTTTGGTTTGCCTGTTGACATTTTCAAACTTCTTTAGTGTGCATGTGAAAGTCAATATCACTTTCCCTGTGTATGTGTGTGTTTGCGCTAGTGTGTGAATAATAAAACTACTGAAATTTTTCAGAAACTGGTTTGAATAGAATATATATTTTATATCTATTTATATTTTCTTTTTCTCTCTCTCTCTCTCTCCTTGATACTTGAAACATGCAGTAGTTGTTTTGAGTAATGTAAGACATATTAGATCCATGATTTACCTTTAATGGTTGGAAGTACCTGTTTTTCTGAAATTTCATTTTTAAAAAAATAATTTTTATTTTTCTTGTCTCATCAGAAATTATCTTCAGGCAGATTTAGACCAGTGCAGCTTTTGTTAGTCATGAGAAGGATGGCCAATCTTTCCAGCTGAAAGAATCCTGGCAAACTAGAAGCTGTTCACATAAAGCAAAGCCACTTTTTCAAAGGGGTATGGAGTGCTAATTCTGTGCCACTTTTTTGCAAGCAATTTTGTTCAGCCTGTCATTTTTATAAGCCTTAACAAAACTCCTTGTATTTATAGACATTTTTATTCAAAATAAGATCTTACTATTATACAGGTTTCTCTCTTTATTTTTTTTATTTGACTATATACAGAAGTGCAAAAGGTCAACCTTCTCTCTATACTTTCCCACATGCTAAATTGCAGCATAATCATCCCTCAAGAGTATGCACAAGCACTCACACTTATTATAATTCTTGTTATACGTAAACTTTTTGAGTATTTGGATTATCAACAAAAAAGTCCCTTGATCTACTGATTATGCAGCTTATTTATAAGAAGGCCTGATATTCAGGGATTTCAAAAAATATTTAAACAATATTTTAACATTTGAAATGGATACAGTAGAAAATAAATTTTATTCTAATATCTAAGAACTAGATTTTTTCTTTTATAATTAATTACAAACAAAATAAATCATCAAAATATTACTCAGTTGTCTGCCAGGATCATTTCAATAGCAACAACTTAACTTCTTACTTAACAATGATTATATAAGATATCCATATAAAAGATCTTTGTTCTTTTAATGAAAACTAGACAAGAACTAACAATGACTGATATTCTTACATTGTAATATTAAATCAGTAAAATATAAATCATTTAGTTAACAAGAATACGAATATTCATGACACTACATGTAAATTCAAAACTGCATATGCTATGAAGAAAAAATATTTTTAATTCTTTTTCATATTTTGAAAAAAATTCATCAGTAAAATCTAATAAAACAAAATTCTATAAACTTAAATGGCATTCATCTGGTAATAGAAAATGAAGATGATCTAATAAATGTACGAAATAAAAACTACCATTTTAACAAGGAAAAATAAGTCATATTCTCTAAATGTAAGTAAACTACAATAACATGTGAAGTCACCTATACTTTCTTAACACGATTGAAATTACATTGGTATGGGTTTTAACCCGTAATGTAATAATCTAAGGCTTTAATAGATGTACAGTACAATCAGTAAAATCAACACATCATTCTTTTTTTTTTTTAACTAGAAAGCATCTCTCAAGCATAAAAACTTGCAAGTAAACTTGGAAGTATGGAGAATTCTAGAACCGAACCCTCACCTCTCCCATTCTACGCGACGCTACCAGAAACCTGGCCCCCACCTCGAGCTTTGCTTAACAGAGCAAAATATATCCTTTACTAACTGCAACATCCAAACCACACAAAGGATTTCCTTTGGATGAATCCATCTTAAAAACTTGAATGCACATCTATTTTTTGTTTCATTTTGTAAAGGCTTTCTAAGGCTATAAAGCAGTTAAATCTCAACAGAAGAAATCACATATAAAACTCACCCGATAGTTAACCCACCCAGCGCCTACTCTAATTAACATTTTCATTGATTGTTGATTATTTTGGTTTTCTTTTTAATCAGGCATCTGATGTCAGTGCTTTTCCCATGATTTAGAGTCACTATTTTTTTAAGTGTGTGACTTTGAAGTGATGCATTGGATCAGAAAAGCAAAACCCATCTCCTTCAACACATTTAGAGTCTCCTGGACTTTTGACAGAGGTTATAAAATTGAAGCAAAATAAAATTATTTAGACTTTTTCTAATATTGTCTCAGAAATGGCTCTTCCCTTTTTTAAAATATTGTTTGTTATACAGTATACTTTGCAAAACTATTACAACTACAATGGTTTATAATAATTTATAGCTTTATATATCCAGTATGTGTAGGAATGACCCATATATCTACTCTTGTTTTTGCTTTTAAAAAAATAAGAAAAACAAAAAAAATGTGCTGTCTATTTTTAACTGAGGTGGCCATTTCTGAGACAGCTTTGGTTTGAAACGGAAGGGTGCCCTTTGACTGATTACCTACTAGCAAAACAAGCAAAAATGTGGCTCTTAAAGTAACACTGAAGAAATAATACTCTACTTTGATTACAGTCTATGGCACTTCATGAAAATCTTTAACAACACGGTACTTAAAGCCATTGATGTGCTTTAAAAATATACACAGTTGTGGTTTTTTACTTGGCACATTCATCTCTGTCAGATACCTCTTTTACCACTTCTTACAATCTATTACATTTAAAAATATTACTCTTAAAACAAAAAAGGAAAAAATTATACTGTGCATGCACGGTCTCTTCTATAATGGCAATTTTAAATACAAGGTGCACCTTTTTGTTATTTGTAAACCTTGAGATAATAAACTTACTTTAAAAATTATATCTTGGTCTACAGACGTACCAATACATTATAGATCTATGGCTACATCACAGTCTGTCTTTTCAAAATGACGTACATGATTATGTAGGAAAAGAGTCTACCAATGCATACGTCAGCTGGGTATGCATTGCATACTTGTGTGCTAGAAAAGATGGACAATGCTGTAGTCTTTAGACTAACATTCTCCAACGTGATGCCCTTTAGCTTTCTTGGGTCTACAACTTCCAGGATGCAATCCAGATTTATAGATCAACGCAACTGGAGGGCACCAAGTTAGGGAAGGCTGCGTTAGACAATATGATCACCCCAGCACAAATATCTATTCAATGTACAAAGTATATAGGCAACAGTGTGCAGTGAATTTCCAAGTTGTCATTTCATCTTGTTAACATGCAATATGTGGATGTCTTACTGCTGAGGAAATTTGGGTGCTGTTATTTTACGGTATATACATTATGGCTAATGACCTGTCCTGATTCTTCACTCAACCACGCTGTCCTCTTCTCCGTCATATGATCTAGAAAAACAAGGAGACTTTTTTAAAAAAAAATCTTAAACAAGTATTACATTAAAATATTAACAATTCAATCTAACAGAAATATTCAGTCAAAAGCCAATTATTTAAATAAACATATATTTAGAATCTCTTTGTGAAGACCACATCCCATTGAGAATACTGGGAAAGATAGAAGAAAGAGAAGAAGGCCATCAGCAAGATGGATAGACTCAATTAATGTAATCCGTTCTAATCTTGATTGCAGGAAAAACTATTTCAGCAATAGAGTAGTAAATGTGTGGAACACCCTACCTGATCCTGTTGTTAGTTCCTCTAATCCCTTATACCTTAAGCTGACCTTACGCATTTCTTAAGAGGTCCATAAGGGAGCATAAGCGCATCAGAGTGCCTACCTCCCTGTCCTTTTGTCCCACTTATATATACTCTTTTTATGTCTTTATAACTATGTTTTGCTTATTTATATCCATTTATTTGTGCCATTTTCATGTGTTTTCATACTTGTTTCCTTGTACTTGTTGACAAATTAAATAAAATAAATAAATAAAATAAATATAGGGGAGAATATTGAAAGACCTGAAGGGTCAGGAGAACACAGATAATTCTAGAGAAGTCTTTTTATGTAGTTGCTAAACGTCAAGGCACATAATCAAATTAATTTAAAATAACCTTCTGAATAGGAAGGAGTTTATGATTATTTCCCCCAGATAAAACTAAATTGGCAGTGAAATATGAACTTTATATTATTTGTAGCTGCAACTGCAGCAGCATATGCGTAATGTTCTCATTACAAAACGAATGCCATTTCTTCATATTTTTCTATTAAAACGTAATGGGGTTAGGTGGCCCAATGGCCGACTATATACATGAATGACCCAACCACGGGTTATTATGGTATGTCCTTTATCCACATGTTAACATTTTATATCGAGTCTTTAAAAAAATCTTTCAGAGTGCTTATTCATGTACTCTGGATATTGGGCCAACTAATAATAAAAATTTTTAAAAAATAGGCATCACATGATAGCATGTTTTTCAGAACATAAAAGAGCCCTCCTGATCAGATCCTTCCTGCATTATAAGCAGGACATGAATAAAAAATCTATTTTGTGTTGCTGGCTAGCAAATATTATTGAGGATCACATGATTTTTGTAACCAGCAGGAATAAATAGCAAAAATCTCACTAGATTTGTCTAATGCTCTTTTTAGATTCTTCAATCAACACATACCATAGTGTTCTCCCTTCAGATTGCATGGACAATCAGGGATATATTTCCTTCATTTTGTATAAAACTGTCCATAAAAAAATGAGGGCTAAACTCATATGTAGATATATTTGTTTTGTCACTTGAATGCAGATGTATTGATGTTTGAGTAAGTGTATAAAACAATGTCAGGGAATATCAATTTAACCTCCTATATTTTCTGAAATATCAACTGTTAACATTAATTAGTTTCAAGTGTTTTTGTATCATTGAGCTCAATCTGAATCTTCTTTTATACAGAAAATATAAAAGACAAGTGTAATACAACAGGCAACCAATTTTACAGAAACAGAAAGGTACATACACAATCACTGACAATCATGTACAAGGACAATAGAATTCAAATCCTCTCAAATGTATCAAAGTACAGTAATATGCACTTAAGATACTTACTGTTTGATGATTAAGTGTCTACATCTGTGTAACATACTTGTGGCTAGTCAGATGTTCGGCAGATATTATGGGAATCTATTAAAATATAAACTTTAATTGATATAATATAATAGGACGTCAAATGAAAAACTGCAGAGTTCTGAATTATGTAATTTATGTTAACAGAAACCTAGGTAGCAATTTAAATGAGTACATTCAGTTAAGTAGGATATCAGCCATTATTGGCTGTTTAAAAGAAAGATACATTTACAGTTAAACATTCATGCAGTCCAGTCATTTCAAGCACCCTTTTTGTTGGCCTACACAGAGATTGTATGAACTAGGGTTGTTTTAATTTTCTGATTTTAACAATTGGCTACAGAAGCAAACAATCAGGCTGTGCATTCTTCATACTCATTGAAAAATTAAGATTATTATTATAATTATAACAGTAACTGATGTCATTGACTGTTTAAAAAAGAACTGAAATTCAAGTGATGGGCTCACAAGAATGCAGCACTGGGACCTTGAACTACATTGCTTTTTACAAATTTTTCTTACGGGATGGTTAGAAAATCTAAACACTTAGCTATTCATAAGAACATTTTCTGTTGTTGCATAAGTTATCCATTTAGTTTCTTCTTTTTGTTGTCTATGGATTTGAAATGTTTGTTCATGTGGTTTTACAATGAAAAGATTTGCAATATAATCCTCACACTCCACTGAAATTGGAGAAAGAATATCTACTGTTTATAACAGATTCCCCTCAAAATCAATCAAAGGGAATTAGCAAGGCAAAATGTTGCCTCCTGCACAAAGTACTTTCATAACAGATCCATTTAGTCAGCTCTCGATTATATACAACTACCAAATAAAGCAATTTTTATTGTTAAAAATGTTTGTTGGCAGTAGAGTGGGATGAAATTTAGAACTTCCATTATGGAGACTAATATAATTGATGCTACTCTTTAAGTGCTGTTACAGAAGGATTTTTCTTGATTGCTCTATAATTACTAAACATTTTTACTTTATTAATCTAATTGGTGGTTTAAGTTAATTCTAAAATTATCTCAACAACTTTTGGGCACAGTCTGATAAGAAGTATTATAATATTCACTCTAATCCCTGAATATAGAAATACATGTAAACCCTCAGTTGCTTAAGCGGATAATAGTTCACAAGCATTTGCATGAAAAAGTTAAATGTAAAACAGATAGGATAAAAAAAACAGTACATTCATAAAAAGAGAGGCTCAGACCAGCTTCTACTACTTAGTTTACTTACTTACTGTTAGCTTCCATTACTAGAGCACAGAAGTTCCAAAAGTAAACAAACTCTTCTAAATCAGACCGATTTATTTTTCTACACAATCCCTAATATTCTTTAACTATATTCAATAGTAGCCTTTTCCAATTTGGCTCCAATATTGTCCAGATGCGCTGGGTGTTCCCCAGCAAGTAGAAGAATAGGAATCTCAAAAATATGACAGGTCCCAGATTGGGGAAGACTAATCTATGCATTTCCAAATTCTCTTTTTGCACATAAATGTGTCCCAAGTGTAATGAAGCTTCTCATACCATTGGTTTGCTACTGCAGCAGAAAGAGATGTTGGATCCAGCTGTCTAGAAGCTTCAAGAGTAGTGCTGTCAAAACATACCAAGGAGCTTCAGCACCAGTCAGTAAAGAGGAAGGGGCCCAAGTCTCAAGTACTTATGCATGCATGAACATTGCATTTGGTGGCATTGCATCATGTCAGCATTGCTCATGTATTATATACATATATTGCTTATATATGTATATACAAAGAATAGGTTACAAAACTTGACTAGAGCGCATTATGAGGATCCAGAGAAATAGGCATGAAATGATCAAATTGTACAACAAAAACAAAACCTCCAGAATCTGTACAGGAGAAGCCTTTTAAAAATATAGAAAAAAATATTCACAATCAGCTACATCAAGAGATGGGGGAAAGAGAAAGAGGAATTTTTCTCCATCCTTTTCTCCCTTCCTCTATGAAAAATAACATGTCTGATGAATAAATCCAGGCAGTGGTGGGATTCAAATAATTTAACAACTGGTTCTCTGCCCTAATGACCAGCTGGGTAGGCATCACTCAGTGGTCATGTGACAGTATGGGCGTCGCCAACTCAACATCATTCAGGTCGATGGGCATTTCCCCTTAGCTGTTACAATGTAATAAGGGTTAACCAGAGANGACATTGGGGGAGTTTCATAAAAAGAAATTGTTGAAAACTTAAAGACTGTTTAAAATTTGAAGTAGCTGTTTGCATCAAACCCCCTTCTATTTTCCCAGAACTTTATCTACAAATGAAGCACCACAGATATAAAATAACTTATACAGTACTAAAACTTTGTTTTCAATTCCAGTTGGATGGAAAAGTGCATTGTGTGTGTGTGCGTGTGTGTGTACGCATGCGCTATGTATCATGTCCCACCTTATGGTCCAAGGATCATACGGTAACAATTTTTAAATCTACGTACTTCAGATGGATTAAGTTATAGTATATGTCCAAAATCCAGGACCCAAAACTCATGTGGTTTGAAATTTGGCCAAAGTTGTGGTCACATGATCACCATTTCAAACACCCTCAACTATTTCCTACAAAGACACCCTCAACTACTTCCTACAAAGAAAGTCAATGGCAAGAAGTCTGAAGTCACACCTGCTCCCAGTGTTGTTGTTGTTTTGCCCATTTATGGTCATTGTGTTTCTCTGCAAGGGTAAGGAAATCTCTCTGAAACCATGACCTAATGGGTCACGTTATCTAATAATAATTACTTCACTTTATTATCTAAGTTTGAAATTAATTAGAAATATAATTTTATGGCAACTATTTTATGAATGCCCATGAGTTCACTAGAGTTCCTGCATCACCTCTGTAGATCTCAAGCTCAGTTAATAGACTTGGGTTCACACATTAGTAATGGATGGATCACTTTCCAGTGAATTCAGTCATATTCAGAGGAAAACAACTGACTAGCGAGTAATTGAAACATGTGTGGTTATTCACTTTGTGCGTGTTAGCATCACATTTGTAGACATGAATCCCATAAATGGAATGAGCTCTCGTTACTTGTCCCAGTTTCTGCCAACCTAGCAGTTTGAAAGCATGTAAAAATGCAAGTAGAAAAAATAGGAACCNCCAAGTTGGGTTGCTGTTGGGCATACTTTTACTTGCTTGTGGATCGTCTTTCCTATTTTCCAGCAGAATTCTGAAAATACTACTGAAATACAACTGCCAGCAGCTGTAGCCAGCATGAAAATGATTGGGGATGCTGGGCATTAGGTCAACAGTAGGATGATTAGAGATTCTTACTCATTCAGATATTGATTTCTTGTACTTGGTGTTCTTCATAAAGTAGAATATCATTTTAGCTCCCCAAGTTCAACAATTTTGTATATTAACTTTAATTCTCTGGAAGCTTACAATGGCAGAGTGTAACTTTGAGGCCTGGCCTATAAGTCAATAATAGCAACATTCAGATTTCCAAAACTTAATTTCCATATTTCCTTAGCTTTCAAGTTTAGTTCAACAACTCTATCATCACCACCCAGCATTTATGCAATCTCGATAACAGCATGTCGGAAGTGTGTTCTCAATATTTATTTACTTTCTTGTCATGTGTTTCTCTGAAGACCTCGGCCAAGCCAGGGCCTTTCTCCTTTGGCCATCATTTTGCAGAAAATAATACTGGCCTACTTTAAAGAGTTAGCATTTGTAGCTTACATATACAGCATAAATGAACTTAGAACATCCTGTGGTACTTTGTGCTATATCAAGCTTGTTTTACTGTTGGCTGTAGAACAGAATTCTCAAGTTCCTCCAAAACTTGCCACTGAAATATAATTTTAGTGCAAAATAAAGTGTATATACATAATGGATACATGCATATGTGTATGACTATGTATGCATGTAAATATGTGTGTATATAGCTATTTAAATTAAATCACTATTAAATTAAACCAAATTTAGTTGTGGTTTTTTTTTGGCTGTGTCAATTTCTTTGTCCTGGTCTGCCTACTCTTTGAGTTTTCCCTAGTTTTCTATTCCTAGATTTGATGTTGCCTTGGTTTGCAAAAAGTTTACATTCTACATAGGAAAAAAGTGATTGTGATCTTATATCTTCATTTTTTTTTCTATACATCGGTTCTTGTAACGGTAAACGTGGACATGGGGGACAAAGGCAAATGATTCATCATATGTTGATCAATTCAGGAAAGTCTTACTGGAGAGTGGGGACAGAAGCCCAATAAAGCTATGCTGCAGATCTAAAGAGAATGTGTAGGCCAACAAGAAGTATAAACCAATAAACAAAACAACCAAAACAAAACAAAACAAAAACCACAACCAAAAAACCAAAAATAATAAAAGAAATCCCCATGCTCCTTAAAAGCACCGATTCTGAGTTATGTTTAAGAAACAAAGCTGTAAATTAGCAAACCTGGTTGGCTGTGGCAGTTGCAGCGAAGGGGACGCTTGTGGCAGATGTTGTTGCTGCAGACACAGTGGCGGGCGTAGCGCCGTGCACCATGGGAACTTTTGGAAGGAAAACCATATAAGCAAACATACAGAAGAGTGTAGCAGTATGGGAAACCATGGCAAGAGGTGGTAAAATGGTCAAGTATGGTATTTATATCAGCAGAATAGCCATGGGGCGAGATACCGCCACCAGCGAAAAGGACATGCAACCACAGCGCAAAGCGGGGCAACATTCCAGAGAGCGGGGTGGGGACAAAGATAAAAGACAAAAGGAAAGGAGAAAAGGGAAGGGAAAAATGCTTATTACCACTGAATTACCAAAGTCAATACAATAAAGTTTAACTATTTCATTTTAGACCCAAGAAACTACAAATAGGACTCTCATTAATAGTTTGAAAATCTTAGGATAACCATATTCCCAATCCTCCCATTTTAACTTCTGATATTATTAGGATATGCTGAAATAAAACTCTAAGTCTGCATTTCTTGCATAAAATGTGTAACTGGCCTTTTCTGTTTTAAACACAAAATAATTTTATAAAACACTGGAACTCAAAGTCCAGTCAAAATCCACCAGAACTGATAAAAGGGACAGGGAAAATGGGGCATAGAACAACTTGATAATGGTAGGAAGTAAATGGCTTCTAGGTAAATTGTGTCAATTAAATAAAGCAAATGCATTTAATTGACAAGTGTTAGTGCAAGGGAAGAAAAATGATTTTGCACAGTAACTCTAAGTTAAAACCTAGCAGTGGATTTTGAAAGTCTGTGAGCTGCTAAACAGGTTTAAGATAATCAAGAAACAAAGCTGGCACCTACCAACACTTGTAGCGGGTGTCATGCACAATATTGAGCCTGCCCATCATGCATTGCAACAGGAAGGTGGATTTGCAAAGGGAAAAGAATTAAAACAACCCATCACACGTGTAATTAGGAAAATCTCATTTGAACAAAGAAGGAAAAATTGGTTATTATGGGAAAACAGTGGCATGTAACCAATAGCACAATCAAATCAAACAGCAAGGTGGTGGTAATTAGAACTAGACTTACATGAGCAGGGCAAGGAGAAAGCAGACTGAACTGTGTGTTGGTATTTTGATTAAAACAAACTACTAAGTTAAAAGTAGGTTCTAATAACATAAGGAGAGGCTTCAGTTGTCCAATTTTGACCTTTACTATATATTGTTTTATATTAAGTTTGATTTACAGGTGCTTTTTATATGTTAATTCATGACTAACGTGAATGCAGGAAGAAGCAACACTGTGCTAGTGCCACAATAAGCTTTGCTTTCTAACTGGCAGATGTTTAAGCTTCAGGTGGAGGCTGGGTAAATCTAGATATATTGCTGTTACTGTGTTTGAAGGGTGCTTAATACATAACATTAAACCATAACTTAGCATTATGTGAATGAATGTCTGGCTCTGATTTGCAGGGTGCCTCAAGGGCTTGGTGTTTTCACTCTTCCTGTGTAATATCTAAATGAGACAGTTCAAGGACGCACATACTTAATATGTTAATGGTAAGAGTTGTGTATCTTGTTTCCTAAACAACTAACAGCTATCAAGATCTTGTTCCCAGTGCCTCAGAATTGTTCGGGTCTGGATGAAAAGGAATAGTCTCAGATTTAACTCTAGAAAGATTAAGTGATTATGCAGGAAGAAGGTTTCTCCTTCCAATTCTAGGGAACTTTTTACCTCTGACCCTGAATGGGGTTGTAATGGTCCATTTGAGGCTGGAATACTATCTGGAAATTTCCTGAACTCCCAGGTCCTGCTGATCAGCTATGGCCAGGAAGGTAATTGCATGCAACATGTTCAATGTGTGTGTTAAGCTTAAGAGGTCTTCTTTTGTAATGCTATGCGTGAAAGACCTTGGGAGAATGGGTCAATAAGTGCTACTAAGGGAACACTCAGGTAAGAGACAGCAGCTGGATAGTGGGTAGGGCAAGAGGCTCAGAAGAGACCTTTCCTTGTTTCTCAGGCTGTAAATGAGATTTGTACTTTCAGACTTTCAAAATTCTGTTAATGTAGCTTCATAATAGAGTAAAATAAGCTCATCTGGTTGTATTTCCATTTTGGGCTACCTATTAAAGCTGACATCAATTTTCCTTAGGTCATTCATGGCTTCACTATCTCTCAGGTCATCTCTACTGTAACATTTTCCAGATGTTGCTCTTGAAGACCACTCAGAAGCTGTATTTGGTCCACAATGAAGCAGTTTGTTATTCCCATGCATCATCCTCGCTATGTGAACTGCAACATTTTCCAGCTGGCTTCTGAGAGAAAATTAAAGTGCTGATTGCCTTTAATGGTCTAGGGACAGCAATGCAGGATTGTATGGCTCCTACAGGTTTGGCCCATCCTGTGTGTTCTGCTTTGCTTGAGTCTCATCAGCTAAGTGATGGCATCTAACAGGACTCAGGAAGAAGGCTTCATCTGTCATAGTCTATTATTCAGAACAGAATCCCCATAGAGATTAATATGGCTGCCACCTTCCCTGCTTCATGGACTTTAAAAAACTGTTGTTCTTATTCCTCCAGGCTTTGGGTCAGAGTGCTTGGACAGGGCTCTTTGATTTGTGGGCAATGAGGTAATTGTTATAATGTCTTTTAACAATGGCTTGTTCTTGTGAAGCTACCCAGAATCATTTTGGAGATACATAGTCTAGAAATTCATTAATCAATAAGTAACATAGTTTGATTGTGCTTCACTTCGAAATTAATTATTTATTTATATTTAAATGACTCCTGCTATTACAAGGAAATATCTGATCAAAGCATTAGTTACTTTCCCCACCATTCTGATTGTTCCCAGATATATTAGGATTTAATTCCCAGAATTTTCAGAGCAATAGTGGCTCAGAATTGCTCATGTTGTACTCTTAACACATCTGGAAGCAGTCATATTTAAAAAAATAATTTCCTGAAAATAAAATCAATTTGATAAAATGCTATTTATTTTTTGTAGATTCCCTCCAGTCCCTCTAGGATTCTTATACACATAAGAAAATTCAGTGACATAGATTTTAAAAATTATGGTTATGATGACTATTTGAACATTGTCAACTGATATAACCTTTCCTACTTATCTAACATTTAAGTGTTGCTGGACTAAATTGAATCATGATATTCAAAGTGGAAATTAAATTATTTTTTAAAATTAAAATAATATGCATTAATTAATTAAATTCTTGGGACAGAGGTGTCACTGGTTTTTTTGTTACTGCTACTTTTGTTATTGTTATTATTATTCATAATCCATAATCTAATTATGGTACCCAGGCAGGAATATAATGATATTTTAGTTGACTATCATGTTCAAACTACAAAACTAACATATTTTCAGTTTTAAATTTCAGTCATCCTCCTTCTTCATGTCTGAAACCAACACACACTTTTGCATAGAATGTTTAGCAAATGAACATAAGGTAGCAATGAAAATCTGTTGTGCTTTAACTTGCAGGAATGAAACAGATATTTGTGTAGGACCCCTTTGTTGATTAGTCACTGAAAAATGAAAGGCCATCACTACAATGTTTACCCTGATTTCAAAAGATGTAAAACTAATTTATTATTCCAAACCTTATCTTGCATTTTAGTTGAAGACAAAAGTTTGAATAATAGCCAGTGAAGAAAAATAAATAATAATATAACAATATTTCACGACTAAATATTTTTCTAGCATAATTCAGCATATGGAAAATATTATTCTCCCTGCGCTATTCATGTTAAACTCACTTGAGCAAAGGGGTCTTACATCAGTTAAATATATATGTATATATAAAACAACATAAGAGGTGTAAAATGAAGGATTAGAGAAGAGAGAAAAAGATTTCAAATGCTGTTTTGAAACATGATTGCACACTTCAGAGATGCAGATTTTCAGATTATGCTGAAAAGCACCCAACACCTTGCTTCCAAGAGAACATATGCAGAATTTGCAGTTTAGCAGCAAGATTGTCTCTTTGGGCATCCATGGATGTTGCCCTTCCCATGCCTTCTTTTTATCATACTTAACAATGAAAAGACTCAGACCTTGAACCTAGCTAACCCATGGGAAATTATTCTAGTGACCTCATTTGGGTCTTTTTCAAAGGATATGGGAAATGCCACGTACCTGGTGGGAGGAAGGCTGTATGCTGTTGCAACTGCATGTTTGCAAGAGCTTGCTGGTATTGGAAAATACCAGCATTAAAGACTGCAGTGGCACCATTGGTTTTTTCAAGCGCAGGCCTCTTTGGTAATGGGGGGAGTACAGCTTGAGGAATCCCCTATTGACAGATGAGGATAAGATAGCCCAGTTAAGAAGAAAGAGAAGGAAGGTAGGAAAGAAAGAAAAGAGGAATAAAAATGAGAAAAAGAAAGGAAGGAAGGAAGGAAGGAAGGAGAGAAAGAAAGAAATAGAAAAAGCAAGAAAGAAAGTGAAAGAATAAAAATGACAGAGAAAGAAATGAGAGAAAAAGAAATAGAAAGAAAAAAGCAAGGAAGAAAGAGAAAGAATAAAATGAGAAAGAGACACAAAGAAAGAAATAAGAGAAAGAAGAAGAAAAAAGAATAAAAGTGAGAAAGAAAAAGAAAGAAAGAAATAGGGAAAAAGAAAGAAAGAAAAATAAAGAAAGAAAGAAGAAAGAATAGGGAAAAAAGAAGGAAAGAATAGGAAAAAAGAAAGAGAAAGAAATAAAGAGAAGGAAAGAAGAATAGGGAAAAGAAAAGGAGAGAGAGAGAAAGAGAAAAAGAAAGAATAGGGGAAAAGAGAAAGAAAGAAGGAAAGAGAGAGAAAGAAAGAAGGTGGAGTATGGAGAGAGAGAAAGAGAGAGAGAAGAAATAGAACAGTCAGTATAAAATACAGCAATTGAGCACCACCATCTTTTTTTTCTATTTACATCCTTGAGCAAGCAAGCAGCAGAGCAGACTTTACAATTCAAAGGAAGAGCAAGGCCGAAGCTTTGCAAGGAAGTTTTATTACTGCCCTTTCAATATGGCACTGTAAGTGCTCAGGAACAGTAAACTACCACTTTTTTCACTATAAAAAAAAGGTTCAGGTTTTAGTAAAGAAGCAGGAATACCAGGGAGGGGGGAAAAAAAGCTGCACTGCTAGCTCCATGAGGATTAATAAGTAAAAGCCATGTTAAAGAGAAATTTTATAGAGTGAATGAAACAAAGATTAATATAATATTAAACTTTACTCCCGTATCCCCAAAGTCTGTCTACGCATGCAAAAACAAAACAAAACAAAAGTGCCAAGTCATGCTGGCACTTGCATTACAAATGTTAAATCTACGTAAGAATATTGTTAAGCCATGCCAACCAAACAGATACAAATATATAGATCATATATATTTTACACATTTTTTTAAAAAAAAATCCTTAAAAAAAAACACCCATCTTCCTTGATTTAAAAATGTCTACAAGGTGATTAAACTGAATGCAGAATCCTCAATCTTCAGGATGGGATGGCAAATAAACCTTCTTTCCATCACCTTCCCCACAAATGCAACAAGGAAGCCACACTCAGTTTTAATTTGAGCTCACATTACTTTACACAGGAAATAAGGAAAAAATATATATTTAGGAATTAAATTTAAAAAAAATTAATTTGTATCTACAGTAAAGCTACATGCCAAGCTAAAAGGTGAAAGGTCATAGTACCAGGTCAAAGGTTGCCTCGAGGGGTCGCTTCAGTGATTTGACAGCCGACTGAGTCTTAATTAGCAGGCAGCGAGCACATGATGGCAATGGGCCAGTGGGGTTCAAGCGCATTAACATAAACAGCAAGCAGAGGTGCATCATGGGGGCAGCAGTGCATTTTGGGTAGGTGAGAAAAAAACAAATAAAAAACAAATCATCGGAATGCCATATACAACGAATAACAAGACTAAGCATGCACAATAAAGGCACTATTGAGTTGTTATTGTGAGGATATACCTCTAGGTAGTTAAGTACAAACAAGGTACTCTAATGGGGAAGGGGAGGTTGAAAGAAGAAGTAAGAGTGAGGAAGGGCCTACTTTCTGTATTTTTGGGCTAATCTTCATAAACACAGAAAAAGGTCTCTCTTCAGTTGTCCCTTTCTGCATTGCCAATATTGCACCGCAATGTTTCATGGGAATATTTAATGGTCAAATCATATAATTATGTAAAAAGAAATATAGGATCAATGTTAAAATAAAGGCAGTTTCTTCAAGCTGGGTGTGAGTTCTGGTTACATCATGGATATATCCATATCACTTGCCTCACAAGAATTTAGAAGTAGGCCTTCTCCTCAGATATTTTTTCAACTTCAGCCTATAATTTCTTAGCAATGTGTCATCCAAATACAACCCCAGTTGGCGTTTTCTATCAGCCAAAGCTGGCTAAGATCTAGAAACTAGGAACTCTCACTTAACGTTAACAATCATCTAAGGCAAGAGTGTCAAACTCACAGCCCACGAGCCCGATGCATCACACTCTGGCCACGTCCACCCCAGGTTTAGTGAAGGGGGAACAAGTTGTGATATGTCAGGTGACAACAACGTGACACCGCAAATTTGACACCCCTGATCTAAAGAATAAAAGTAGACCCAATTAAACAGGGTTTTCTTTTATCCCCTATCAGAAAACACAGTTTAGACAACTGGTTCATTGTCTAATTTCTCCCAGTGATGTGATTGTGCTGATCCATGTCACAATCAAAATTCCAGTAATAATATTACAATAATTATAGTATTATAATAGTATAATAGTATAGTAATTATTATTATTTGATAGCTGAATTCAGAGCACAATACACATTATTTTATTCGTTATTTTATAGTCACATTGATAGAAATGCCTGTTCTTCAATACTTCAATAAATTATTTGCCCCATTGCACCTCATTCAAGTATATTTATTAAAGTTATTGCACATAATACAGAGTAGTAATCCATTTTCCACTTTCTAAAATTTCCTTTCTTTTCTCATTGTACTTTCAAGAAGTTTCAGAATTCCTTTAGAAATTCTTCTCTAGGTATTTTTGACTTTGCTTTACTATTGCGAGGTGGTGAGAAAGTACCATTTGCCTTTCTTTTAAATATTTTTATAATGGTCTAAAGTCTCCAAGGCTCATGTTTCTTGGGTCTGAAAATGCCTCAGGAACGACTTCTGTCATGTCTGTCTTTGGGATTTTGCAGAAAGGTGAGATGGCAGGTAAACTGTACATTGCCAACATATGACTGCACTGAAAGGCAGATATTCACACATATTCCATGGTCACCTCAAAACTAAGTAAGTGCAAGAACGCCCCACGTGAGAATTCTACCAACATTTTCTTTCCCAACGAAGGAAAATGAAATTCTTTGCCTTTAAGCTGAGACTGTTAAACGTGGAAGAAAATATTTGCACAAATAAGCTTAGATATTTTTGTCAGGATATATTCAAATGCATGCTTAGTGTTCAATTTCAATAAGCTAGATCACTAATACTGTTTCCTCCCGTATGAAACAAGAGAGTGAAGTTGTTGTGTGGTATGTGTAAGTATTGGACACAGAAAAGACTAAGAGAATCCCTGAAAGATGTTTGTAAACTTTAGCTAGTTTCAGAATCATTAAACACTTAGCGTTGCTGCTAACTAAATGCAATCTAAGCTATTTTCTAAGCAAACTCATTTGTTTATTAAATTTGTTCGCTGAAAGTCTCATCTCAAGGTGACTCTGTGCAAATGAATGCACAAAATGCACAAAATGAATTCTAGGAGGGGGAAAATCCTTTCCAAGGAAAACAGAAGGATAAGTAAGACCGTATATGATCAATTATACAAAAATTTTCATCTCTTTGATGACATAAGTCTTTTGCAGATGGAAATGGAGCACAAAAAATGACAGATCATGGGATCTACTGAGGAATGCATCAGCTCCTTGTGTAATTCTTATGTAGCAGATGATGTAAAAACTTGCGGATCAGGGTTTATATGCATGCGTATCAATAATATCAATGTACAGGTGACTCGTAATAAATGACTGCTTCTCACTAAGTAGATTCAATGCAAAGCTAATATGTACATCTGACATGTACATCTATGCACAATATACACGTAGACAAATTGACTACATTTTTAGTAGAATCTGACACTATGTAAGAGCAGACTTGGCATCACATGCTTGTCAGCATACTGACGTGGAATGGGATACTCAAACCATCCTATCTTTAGTAAGGAGGTTCAATTGATTAACAGTGCTCAGCGGCTGACAATGGGACAGATATATTTGATTTCTTTTCTGGACTTACCATGGCTGCTGCAGTAGCTGCTGCCTGAGCAGCTGCTGCTTGATTGACCTGGTACTGGGCAGCTTTGATCTTAGCTTGCAGATGGGCTGGAGGGTGAAAATATTTGCACTTTTCCCTTGAACATCTCCCTTTGATGTAATCCATGCAGACAGTAACAGTATTGTCGTTGGTATCAATCATTGCACTGTCAGCAGGGTGAGCAAACCGGCAATCATTTTCTCCTCTGTTACAGTTGCCACGCTGATACTCTCTACATACCTACAGGCAGGGATAAAAAAAAATGCAAGTAAAATTACATCAGGAAAGAAACTAAACCCAAAAAGTTGAAAGTTATTCTGGAACAACAGATAAATAAACCTCAACCATTCGGTTTTGTTTTACCTTGAGAAAATATCTTTGTCTTTTTATGCCTGGATGAATTTCTTAATTCCCAATCTGATAGTTTGGCTTAATGTATGTAACTCAAAAGCTTTCCAAATTTAAAAGCAAAATATTTCCAATTCAATCAAAATACTAAAAGGGTTCAAATGAGTTGAATTTTTGTGGTTATTTCAGACAACAGCTGAGAAATTCGCCTGCATTCTATGTAATAAAAGATAATCTGTTCTTCATGGTTTTAATGGATAATATTTTGGTTATTTCATTGTATTGTATTGTATTGTATTGTATTGTATTGTATTGTATTGTATTGTATTGTATTTATTTATTTATTTATTTATTTATTTATTTATTTAGTATCCCACCTTTATTATTATTTTTTTGGACAATACAAGGCAGTGAACATTATCTACTTACTATCCTCACAATGACAATAACCCTGTGAGGTGAACTGGGCTGGGAAAGAGTGATTGGGCCAAAATCATCTGGCTAGCTTTCATGGCTAATTCATGACTGAATTAGAACTCATGGTATTTTGGTTTCTAGCCTGGTGCATCAACCATTGGGCTAAACTGAATCTCTTTCTATTTATCTATTTATTTATTGAGTTATTTGTTTGATAGTTTTATTCCCATCTTTCCTCAAAGTCCTTTCATAGCTTTGCTTCATTTTGGCCTCTCAATCAGAGGTGGGTTGCTCCCGGTTTGGCCCGGATTGAGCGAACCA